TATCTTCGTAATAACCTTATAATATAATTCAATAATAAGATTTCAATCAGTCGCGCCCTCTGGCGACCAAGCTCTTCTGTGACGTCAACATGACGTAGGTTATCGTTCAAATAGATAACTGTGTTTGATTGTGTAGTCGTTCATCATTTACATTTAAAAAAACGGCATTTTTTTATTGTCAGGCAACAACAAATCAAAAAAATATCGACACTACTATGAACGACGTTCCTTCCAACGGTACCAATTACGTCATATAAACCTGCGTCGCTAGAGGACGCAACTCATAGGAATAGCGTGTTTATGAATCAGTATAAAACTATATCGCAATAGCGATTCGTCAACCCTCTCTACAGCGCTTTAACTGGTTCTTCCGCAGTGACGTAGATGCACAAATTGCCTGAAAATATCTTCACCAATTATTTTTTTTCACTAATTGAATAGAGCAGAACGTGACAAATGCAATATTTGCGGTTCATTTGATAACCATTCTCAATATCTATCATAACCTTACAGATGGATGGGCCGGGGTAATCAATGGAAGTAGACTTTATTTTGATTTCTCCAGCCCAACCAATTTCAAGTCCAGAATGGACGAATTAGAAAAAGAATTGAAAAGATTATGCCCCAAGCAAACTAAGCGCAGAGGAAGCGTTCCTGTGGGTAAGTATATACTTATTATTATTAATGCCACGAGTCTTAAAATCTCCTGTATTCTCGTGTAACATAGACTCGTGTCAAAAGAAGATGACGCGTTAGCTAAAGAAGCCGATATTGACCATAAATTACTTATTGTATAGTTCCCAACCGGAAATGCTGTCTTCTCCTTAGTATACACTGTAGCACCAAGAATAATATTAAATTGATCAAGTACAAAAATGCAGTCTCGCGTCTTGTGTGACTTTGATGTATGGTGTATAAATCCGATCACAAATTGCGCAGACGCAAGCTCACCAAAATTGCATCAGCGGAGCGGAGAGCCGTCATTTGCGCAGGCGCGGAAATTGACACGCTAAAAACGCAAACGCTCGTGGCTTTTAATATTTGTAAACAACGAAAAGATATGGCCTTCGGTCGCGTGCGCAGGTGGCGAGTGTGAGTACTGGTAATGCCCGTAATCATGGCGCTACAGTGATGAATTCCGTTGGTTATTGCTGTAAACGATCTTCCGAACTAATGGCGCCAGCTTGACCAAAGTACGCAGACGACAGTCAATTAGTTTTTGCTTGTGTAAATAGCTGCTCCATTCAAGCACTTGTAAATTGGAGAAAAATAACATTTGTCGTGACCTATCGCCTTACTGGAACGTCAAACAACGACCAAGCCTGCGTCAATTTGAAACTACCTACAAACCAGAGACCAATCAGAGAGCAGTTTTTTAGTTGACAGGTTTTTTCATCGTAGCAATTTCTGCCTTGTGCTTCGACTCAACGCCCGAACCAAGCTGGCTATAAAAAGACAACATAGACGACTTTCCCGGAAGTCGAAAATACGGCGTTTCGCAAGCGCGCATGCCGTTTTGGGGTGTAACGTAAACTTTCGCGCTAGATATTATGTTTTTGGGTGCACCAATCGACGTCACAAAAATAAAATTCCCTTCTATCGACTATTAGCAAACCGACATGTTTGTATTTTCCGCCACGACAAAGCAGGAGTATTTTTGCACCTCAGTCTCGCTACTTCCGGGAAAGTCGTCTATTGCCATTCGTCACGGTGAACATCTTCACAGTTGAGGGCGCGCCTCATCAAGTTGACTGAATCGTGTACATGTATTTTCAAATCATTGGCTTGAAGGGCGGTAGTCGTCGCGCCGCGTCCTTTTCGATATGCGACTCATAGCGACGTATACAACGCGTGTAAAATACATTGTTTATTTACATGAAATTCGAACACGCGCTGCGCGACGACCACCGCGCTTTAAAAACACTTCGGCCATCAAGTAACTGATTATCGAAATTAATCTTGGCCCGATCGAGGTGATAATACACTCCTACTGTATATACTGCTATGATTAATACTTGTAATTTCAAACAATTTACTTGTAAATCGTATTTTCTTTATAGCTGCGGCGCCAAAAGGACCCCTACGTAAGTAATATACACCACGTAATAATAAAATCGTCATGACAACAAGTAACGTCGTGTTGTGTTGTAACCCGTATGTTATAATCTCAATTTCACACCTCTATCTTGTCCTTCACTTCCTAGGTCGTAGGTTATCAGACAAGGAGCGACGGGATGAGTTGCAGAAAAATCTCCGGGATTTTGAACCGCAGTGGTAATCACGTGACCATCTATCGCGTGACGAATCGGGTTTACCTATAAATACAGTGTGCCCAACTGTTGTGAGCTTGAAGCTGGGATATTTTACAGCGTGTGCGGGTATTTGTGTGTGTGTTTGTTTTTCTTTTCTATTAAATTTTAAACCCAGAATATCACGAACATTTCTGCCAGTGACACAGCCTATTTTCACAAACATGTGTTACATTCGATTCCGAGATCTAGATCTTCGTAGTGGAACTCGTCCGTGGCAGTGCGTTGGAAGTGAAACAAAACAAAAGTGAATATATTTGCAATTAAAACTAGTAGGTTCGCGATAAGTGGCTTTCGCGGTAAGTGGGTTTCGTATCGGGTGGCTTTCGCGGGGAGTAGGGCTTTGTCGCAGTGACTGGTCCTTTCATCGTTGTTGAGAATTAAAGTTTTATGTTTCTTTAACAACTGGTGCTATTCTGGGAATATCGTCCTTAGAAGCTATTAATTTGTCCTTTTGTGCAGTTGCTCTGGCAGGAGTTCCAAAATAAGACCCATGCTCCGATAGAGCCCCTAATTGCAAAGACCAATAAATATTTGACCATTTATAATGGGCTTTGCATCATGTATTTTATACTGCTTATTAACATGCTGTAATTAATAATCTTATTGCTGTTGCAAAGAATGGTTGAATATTGTTTATTGAAATTAATAATCTCCATAACAATTTTTCAATATAGATAAGTTATAATACGAAACAAATTTACATATATTTACATTATTACCAATGCATTGCAATACAACTAATTAAAATTGAAATATAAAATATTCCGTCAGTAACACTTCTCAAGGGCGTATTTCACGGTCAGTGTTATTTACGAAAATATTTGTTCACAACTGGCTTGGCAACTCCCAGCCCAATTAGATATAATGTGTACATATTTTAATAAATAAATATACACTAACAAAAAATCAATTATTAATTATTTCATAATTTATTATATAACCTGGACAAAAGAAATCAATATTTTTCCTAGCTAGAATGCTGCATTTTCTCTATCTGTGTAACTTCATGCGGGAATCCTAATAAAGTTCACAACTGGCTATTTAGCAATATTAGGGATTGTCAACTTGTCAATAATTATCAGATTATTTGTATTATTTCAATTTCGTTCATTAATGGAATACTTTGTGATGACACTTTCTTCAGGGCCTAACTGATTCAGACTCATATAAAGACTATGCCCCGGGCTGTTTACTAATATCAACCTAATTACTTGTCATTGTCTGACTGTTATATACAGCCTAGAACACGTCAGAATAGTAAAAAGTCAGTAAATGTCAGTTGCACGTGCCATGAGAGCCACAGAACCAAAACAATCTGTCAGCCGTCGCCGCCCACAGCATCGATATGATTTTACATTGCATAGAAAAGAATGATGTCATAGTTTATCCATAATCCTTTGCCTGAGAACCAAAATGACTGGCTACATAATACTGATATAAAGTTGAATATCTAGAGAATGAAAAGTGATATAAAAAAACTGTACATTGCGTTCTCTTACATTTTTTGAAGATTTTTCTTTCGGGGTCATTATGTATTTTAAATTGATGTTTCCTTTAATCATCCTGAGATATTCAATCCCATCGTTTCATATATTACTCTATAATTAACGTAATAAAGAATACACTTTCCATTATTGTTATAAATGTGATCTAGTGTCCCATGAGACTTGTAAATAAGACGATTCGCTCAGTTTTTATTTTACTAATACTATCTTTGTCAAAACTTGTGAGTGTGCTCATTATCAAGTTAATAAAAAAATCAGAAACAACGACAATTGTTATCCGTTAAGTAATTTAGAATAAGTTGAGTTTGTAATACAATACGGTAACTGTTATCACAATGGTCACGTCTGTAGTGGTATTAATTTGATGAAACGAATAACCATGCTAATGCGCATGTGCCTCGAATTGATGGTAATGGCGTGTGGATCTTTTTTTTTCAATCATATTATGCGTGGACTCGATGAGTTGCTTCAAGTTTATTTCGCGAGATCGGTCTTCTGATTATAGCAGTATGCAATAATGTATTATAATTATGCGGTCTTTTACGGGGTATTTTCATTCTACCATATTAGGAAATGCAAATTCCAAATATGGAGTGATTACGCACGTACGCGTCCTCTAATAATAAAAGCAAACATGGCAGCCCCCAGGGTTTGACCGGACTCCACACAAAGAAGTTCGTTTAAACTGTTTAAACTTTTTGGATTTCGGTATTCCCATGATTTATCCTTGGGAGGAAAAGATGTATGATAATAAGGTTATTACGAGGATACCGCAAAGTATGCGCTCAGATAGTACGCCGTCGCATCGACCACCGCTGCGTGTTGGTCGATAATCCCGCTGTACTGTCTTCGTGCATACTTTGAGATATCCTCGTAATAACCTCATATTATTAAAATCATGAAATATAATATATAATGTTTTCGTCCATCGTTCGTTCCTTGCATCTTTAATCACAAAACGTACTTTTTTTCGAACACCAAATTACTGACGTGTACGTATATGCGGGCTTTAACGCAAACAAACAAAAGTGAAACAGTTCCAATCCCGATAAATAACATAGTTGAACTCTGGTGATCTTGCCCTTTGTTATATAATATAATTCCCTTTATCATAGTTTGTTTCAATATAAATATGCATTGTCATAATTAATTTTGAATACAAACAAGTTTTGGGGTTAAACCAACAGTGGGG